GGCAGTTTCTCTGAAAAGGTTTACTCTGAAATAGTTGAGAACACTGTCAACAACATTGTCAGTATTTAACTTACAGTACTTCATTTCCCTTTGCTGTAATTGCATTTACATTCAAAAATTATGGAATTGCATACACATTAATATGCTAGGGGAATGAGGGCAAAATAATGACCATCTTCAGTCTCAAACTCAAATCATGTATTATTTGTTCTATTATAATCTTGCAAAACAAATCCAGCATTTACTGAAGCTAATTTCTCTCTTACCAGAATACTAGAATATTTCAGACTGTCTACTTGGAAGCAAGACTTACATGAATCATGAAACAGTCTTATAATTATGAACTGTCCCTGTGCTATTCTAGTAGTAGTCTCTGAAACTCAGTGCTCTTGCATACCTCTATCAAATTACCAATAGTTCTTAAGCAACTGCAAGAACTAAAAAAAGTTACTTTTTATGACCACAGCTCCCATTGTCCAGCCAGCATGGCTACGCGAACTGTAGTCTAAAAAAAAAAAAGAAACTTTCCACGCTCTGAATACAATTTGACAGTTGATGAAAATACAAACAGTGACACAGAACAAATCACATATATTTTATATTACTTTGCAGAACTGCACCTTAACTCATTACTGAAAAAGGTTACCTGGAACATATAAAATGCCAACTTCTCATTATATTCCCATTGCTTCAGGGCTTGTTCCACCTCAGGAGGCACAACTACAGAGTTGCTGCCTTGGCTTGAGGTCATATGATAAAAATCTGCAATCTTTGTTAGCTGTTCTCGAAGATATCTGGTTGAAATCTGAGTCCATTCTATGAAGACACAAATTAGATGTACATTGTTAAGATTTTTTTTCCCTCAGAAGACCAGGGGGGCAAATGCAGCATGAACTATTCTGCAATTGGTAAAATGCACTTTTATCAAGAATCTCTTTAGTCTTGTGACATGAACATGACTATACACTGTTTAGGTATATAGAACATTAAGGCAGAACAGAATAGTCATCTTGGAATTAATTTTAATTCATTTCTTAAGGACAATATATGAGCACTTTATTATTTAGATGCTGTTATTGCTGAAGTACTACATGCATTTTAAACTTTTAAATTGTTTTCTTCAAGATGATCATAATGAACTGCAAAGAGGCAAAGAAATATAAAAATACCACTTCTACATTCAGGATGAAAGACATTGACATTTTGAGGGTGTACACCCACCTGTTGCCGAGTACCCCAAATCCCCCATCTACCAATTCATATTCAATTTAAATAGCATATATAGCCTTGAAGCAATTTAATAAATAATATTTAAATATTTAAAACATTACACAAGGAATAGGCCCATACTCTTCATAGGCCCATACTCTCCAATTAATCAAAGTAGAATCTCTGGCTGACTGAGAAAAAGATGATTCTTTATTTCTAATTTGATCCAGAAGGTATAAGCATCCATGGACTATACATACAACAGATGCAACAATAAACATACCATTATATATTTAAGCTTTAATAAATGTTTTAATCAAGGTTTGGTTTTTTGGATTTTAATTTATTAATTTTCAAGCCAAGAATGGAGGACTCCATGGATATAGAGGATCACCTGTATTATATTAAGGTTTTTCTAAGTTCATGCAAGCTCAAAAGTTTTGGGAAAGCTCAGCTATCAAAAGCCATACCTTTGATGTGTTATTTCAACAACATAGATATGGGACAATATCCAATGTTTCACCATTTCCCTAGAGCCAGATAGCCGTGAGTGGCAGGGTAGTGGATCTAAGTCCTAGATTTGTCTGTTCATCAATGTAGATTCACAGAATCTCTGCCACTGAACCTATCAGCCCACTTTGCTAGTACCTCATTGGCATCGAACCAATGCCGTCCAACAGGCAACCAATAATATTAGAAGGGATCTTGATTCTCATACAATCTAAGCCCTATTCAGTGCTGGATAGACATCAGTAAAACTTTCCTCCTTATACTTCTCCTATATATCCCTTACAGGATTTTTGGTTGATTATGTAAAATCCAAACCTCCATACAGCATATTATACTTATCCATAGTGTAAAATAAGCTGAAAAAGAACTTTTAAGTACAGTGAGTTTATGGGACAGGAAAAATTGAAGTTCCAATATTCATTTAACACAATTTATCCTAAGAAGGGAGGGAAAGGAAGAGCTTGAGTGACATCAGCATGATTGCTAATCAGGTATGACAGCAACATTTTTAAACCCCTGAAAATCTAGGTCTTGTTTTGTCAAAACCTGATCCTGTTATTGAGCTGCACATTCAAATTCCACAGAATATGTGACTATTATCTATGAACATAAACATATTATGTGAATATCAATTTCTTATCACCTCACAGGGTTCTCTCCTCTTGCAAGATGTTCATAACTGTGGGTCAAACAGACTTTTTCACGTATGGAGTGTAGTACAAAAACCCAAATGGCAAACACAAAAGCACCTGTGGTGTTAGGCCTATGCAGTGTCTTTCATCACCCCTCCTCTTTCAATATCAGAAATGCAATAAAACATGGCTGGGCAATCCTTCCACGACCCTGATGCAGACACGATTAGTGTAAAGCAACTTCAACATGTAAGCTAGCATGAGGAGTTGCATGAAAGTCCCCTGCTTTGATGGATCAATTCTGGACATTCTGAGGAGGCAAGGCAATCCAGATCTAATGATCAATGGGCTGTATAAACAAGGCACAGGCAATCTTGTTCAATAATCTCCTCTGCCTGGCATCTCCAAACATTTCCAAAGTACTTCAAAATCCATTTCAAAAAATCTCTAGACCTTTTGGTCTTTTCAATTCCTTGCAATTTGCCCCAAGGCATTATTTTAATATAAATATGGGTACCTTTTCATTGTATCTTTGGCTTAGTCCAGCAGGAGACAGAACACTGTCAATTTGCTTGACTTAGCACCTCAACAGCTCACCCATCTCCCATGCAGAGGGAGCTGTCTAAGTCCTCCATTTCATCCAAGACCCCCGCAATTGGAGACAAGATCCATTCAGGTGTAGTATAACCTTGAGAGACAGCTTACTTCTATCCTAACCTTCAACCCTTGATTTCCTGTGTGTGTGTGTGTATTTGTGTTTATTGTGTGAGTGTGTTAAGTCTCTTTTTAATAAAAACTCATTATCATTTAATGTCTGCCTCTAGAGTTCTATATACCTCTGGACTTGGTATACACAGGGATCGGTCCTCCTCAGGCTAAGTTATCCAGCCACCCATTGAGCTAAAACATATGCATATTGACTAGGGCTGTCCTTCTCAAGACATGTCCACCTTCAGGGTAACAGTGGGTGGGTGGGTAACCTGAGGCACTTCTTGAATTCCTTTTGAAAGCCAATGATGGATGCATGGCATAGAACTTACAAGAAATTGCAGAACTGTGAACAGACATCTCTGGTGAAAAATACTTTTAGAAATACTATAAATTAGGAATGGAAAGAATAGTTTCTATTATTAATTTTCAATTTAAAAAAATTGGCTTCCCAACACTCAAGAAGCCCCAATAGAAAAAAATAATAGAGCAGCACAACTTTTTGCACAGTCTTCCCCCTCTAGGAATGTAAGTGAAAATGTGTCACTATGTTACATTTAGATTTAAAAGGGTTTATATATATATATATATATGCATTACATTTACTTTGAAAAGGGTTTTGCCCAATTACATTAATACAAAATTGGCATTTGAAATTGCATTACTATACTAAAATCCTTATCAATATGTGGTGAAGAATCTTTTATTATTGTCTATTATTTTAGTTCTCTCCAGTCCTCCCATCTGTTTTGAGAGAAGTAAATAGATACACAGTTTTGGAAAAACTCATCTCTCATCCACCAATGGAAAGAGAAGAAAAAGAAATACACATAAACAGGAAAGGTGCATAAATCAAACATTTTATCTATACATCAGAACCATCCCATCCACATCAACAATAAAAAATATCACTATAAAATCACTATAAAAATCATAATATGAATATATGATTGACATTGTCATCAATATCAATTGTTCAGGTAACAAGAACTTTTCTGAGTTGGATGTGGGGAGGGCAGTTCAAGAGTTAAACTGCTTGGATAAACTGCTGCCCCTCCAAGAGGCCACCATTCTGTTTCTGTTCAGCTCCTCTTATTATTATTATCATTTTCTTTCTTCTTCCAAAGACCTCTGACTTTCTTCCACTTTTCAGGCTGTGTTCTCTGAAAAGAAAAACAGAATGAAAGAAATCTTAAGACAAAATGGGAAAGAAAGTAACTTCTTCTTATTCACAATACATTCAAAACACCTAACATACTTTGTTACATGAAAACCAAGAGCAACCTAGGAAATTAATACTTTAATAAATGCTTACCTTAAAACATTGCTCCATGTTTTCTGAGGAGCAATTTCTATGTAATGGTCATTTGAACTGGGTGGTGGCAGCAGTTGCACTTCACCAGCAGGTGTCACCATTCCTAATTATGAGGATGCCAATTGTTAATACCTGTAGCAAATTGCTATATAACTCAAGCCATGAATGAAGGAATAATAGTAGTGTCTCAACCTTTTGTTTGAGAAGCAGCGGTAGACACCTAGAGGAAGATAGATAATCCACTTAACTTTTCAATTTCAATCTATTTATTTCAAAAATAATAATAATCTAGTAATGTATTAAACTGAACAGATTCCTGAAACCACTTGTTATTACTAACACAACTATTGTTCAAATTAATAATTAGCCATACATTAATATGCATGTATGAATTCGTAAGTGAATCTGTAGCATTTGTAGTCCCTACTAGGATGGAGTACTTCATACTTAATAGTGCGTAAAAATCTTTCTTAACCCATTGTTGTTGTGTCCTTTCAAGTCATTTCTGACTTACAGCAACCCTAAGATGAATCTATCATGGGGTTTTCTTGGCAAGATTTGCTTGAAGGAAGTTTGTCATTGCCTTCCTCTGAGGCTGAGAGCATGCGACTTGCATGTGGGTTTCATGACTGAGCAGGGATTTGAACCCTGGTTTCCAGAGTCACAGTTCAACACTCAAACCACTATGTCACAATGGCTCTCCTCTTAAACAATGTAATAATAATGCAGTTCTGTTCCTTAAAAAAAATGCATTGCTTTTTAAAACTTTCAAATGGGCATACGCATCCACAACTATTTTTTTTTTAAAATATATGACAGTGGGCCCTTGGTATCTGCTGGAGTTTGGTTCCACAATCCCCAATAGATATCAAAATCTGCTAATGTTCAAGCCCCATTAAATACAATGGATAGTCATGTGCCTTATATAAAATGGCAAAATCAAGGTTTGCTTTTTGGAATTTGTATATTTTAAAAAATATTTTCAAGTGACAGATGCTTGAATACATGGATAAAGAATCTGCAGATACAGAGGGCCAACTGTATTTATTTCTAACCAAAATATACTTGCTGAAATGTAGACAGCTAATTGTATTACCTATAAAATGATGTGTAGTGCTTTTTGGTCAAGTCACCTTTTAACCTCTCTTCTTTCTTCCTAGCCACCCCCACCCCAATACACACACATCTACACACAATATATACAAAATATCCTCTCCTCTCACCTCTTTCAAAGTCTTCTTCTCTCCCATTGCCAGCAATGTGCATCTTGTTGCAATCCATCTCTGGTATCCTGTTTCTTCCATCCTCCTCTTCCTCTATGTTCTGTTTAGTTGACTTTGTGCCATTGACACATCCTCCTTCATTTCTTTTTTCAGTCTATACAATCATTGTTTCTCTCTCTCTCTCTCTCTGCATGCACATTCACTCCTTTTCTCTTTCTCTCCCTGCCCTTGTCTACACTGCAGCAAACTTTCTTTCCTACATAAGCACAATATGACATGGGCTTCATCTCCCTTTTCTTTGTGCCATGGGCTTCTGCTTCCTGTTCTTCCCTCCATCCCTCTCATTATTTTCTCATTATGTTGCTCATCACTGTAGTGGTAAGTCATCATCCACCACAAATATTTTTAAAAATTAGCAAACACAGCAAAATGGACAGCAAAAGGGAAAAAATCAACATAGCAGATAAAAACACCAATAAAGTACATGAAATGTTTGGGGAAAGGGAACTTTACAGTCTGCTTTTATGTTGTTTGCTCTTTTCCCCACCCCCATATAGCTGCTGGTATAATTCACATCAATGGCTTGGTTCTAATCTCTGACAGAGTTATATGGCGGTAACACATTTTCCTGGACAAGGTGGTTTTCCCATCAGATAATCAAAACTGGCTTCTTTTAATGGAGCTGTGGTAGTAAATGTTTAAAATACCTTAAGAGAACTGAATGCAGGTAGAATGTTTTGGGTAAAAATGAACTTTTCAAATTACAAAGATATACACAATTAAAAATTAGACAGCACAAGTACTTTCATAGAACTCACACTGGTACCTCCATATAGAGTACATGTACATGCAGCAAAGCCAACAGAAAAGTTCTATTCCTCCCCATTTATTTACCAAGATTTGGATCAGCAGCTTGACGTTTCTTGATTTTAGCTTCAGAAATGGCAGCATAATAGGCACATGTCATTTTGATCAGCCATGCTGCTCGCAGCAATGGCACAGAGTATTTTGCTAAGTAAGCAAAAACATCTTCCTTTTTACTGAGAATTGGAACCTGAGATGAAGAGGAAGAAAAAGAGTTAAACAGTGGACTTATCACCAAATCACAATAGTAATTCATATTTTAAAAATGGGCTTCCAAAAACAGTTGAGTGACTTGTACAGTGCAATAAAGTGGTAGGCAGAAAGAGAGGATACAAGATGATGGCTGGATGGTAGCAAGACCACTCTTTTGAAAATAAAACTGAGTTCGGGGGGGGGGGGGGACTTAACTCAGCCTTCCTTTCCTCCTTTCTGCTCATCTCCAGCAACTACCACTTTGTTCTTCTGGCAGATCCAAAAGAACTCCTATTTTTGCCTAATGTGGGAACACTTTTGTGAAATTACTTGTTATTTCCAACCTATCTGTTTTAAATTGGTAATCTGAACTCATGTGCCAGCAAACCATAACAAACCACTTTCATTGATAAAATATTTTTACAATGCATTTAAAGCAATTTTGAACAATTATTGATGCCATCATACTTCCTCCTGCAAAAAAAAAAAAAAAAAAGACAAAAGATACAGGCAGAACTTACAATCTGTTTTAATAAACAGTAGCCATAATGCTAATCTTTAGTTTGCTGTATCACTTCATAATGCAAGTAAGAAATGGCAGCATTCAAAACTGCTAAAGCATGAATGAGATGCAATGATGTAAATGTTGTAGTCTGTCCTATAACAAAATCAGATCTGACCTATTTGATAACACAGGATCACAGGATCAAGTTTTTTTCATTAAACAGACTGAGACAAGAAATGCACACAGCAGCCATTAGGACAAGAATATGTAGAGAGCAGGCAAGCCAGAGAAGTTATAAGAAAAATAAAACCCAGTAACTTTTGCATTATATATCTAAAGCTTTGTGGCACCCTTTACCAGATGGTAAAAGTACACCATTATGCTATTTTTCTACCATAGCATTTTTTTTTCACCAAGAAGTTCTCTCAACTTCCTAAATGATCAAATTTGGATAGTTTATAGACCTAAAATACTCTAAAGTGGGCCGTCAATACTATAGAGGACTGTAGGGGGAAAGGGAAGAAAGTACTGATCCTAGCTTAAGGATAGCATTGAATCTAATCTTCTGTGTTCAAAAAGTGCTATTATTTTTAAAAACATTTTTGTAATTTGATTAAATAGTCACTTGCTCATTCATTATGATAAGAAATAGTAGAATGTATACCAACCAATAGAAACAAGCTAATGTATAGCAAGACTAACATCTCAGTGAGGAAAACATTCATTCAACAGAGAAGTCCTAGATAGAGCCTGGCCCAGCCTTGAATCTCAAAAGAGCCTGCTGCAGCAGTAAAACAGACTTAAGCTTTGGAAGGGCTTAGGGGTAAGAAAGCTAAGAGGAAGAGGATTTAGCATAACATCAAGGACAGATGGAATGGATAACAGGATTCAAAGGAATACAGAAAAACAAAACTTACATCGATCCCTACTATGTATATCCATATAAAATTAGTAATGATAACAAACTGCTACTACTAAGATAGATAGACAGATATAAAATACACACAGAGACCCTCTAATACAGTAAAATAGAGCTACTTCTATCTACAGAGGCAGGATCAGGAGGGCTTTAAACTGAACTGTGTGGGGAAGGGAGACAACGT